AACTCCTGACCGCATCCCGGTGACCTACCATCAACCGAGGAGGCCTAGCCCGGCTGCCCAACGGACTCTGCGGTTCAGGCGATCTTCTACAGAGGAAATTTACAACGTCTCAGAGTTGGCAAAATTTTAAAGATAAAGTCCTAATCTTAACTATAGATTCTGTCGCGTTAGGATTTAATTTGTTAGCTTTGGATGTGCATATCGATGACGTTCCTAATAAAACGCAATATCCGTATAGTTGAATTTCTTAACTAAATGAACCAATAAAAGAGCGCATCATGTTTTTTCTTCACTTGTTTCTTTTCTTCTATCTAGTCTCAGAGCTGTAAACGAGCTGCATTCCTAATACTTGAACTCGGTTCGAGCCAATTACACTAAAAATTATATAAAACCTTATACAGGGTCGACTCTAGAGGAGGCACCATAGGCCCATGCTCGAGCGGAGCCAAACTTGAGCATGAAACCGTTTAGTTTCATTTAACAATTTTCTATTTAGTTACAAATTGTCATGTTTTTTTATTCAATAAAAATTTAGTAGCATCCATAGAGCTGGTATATTTTAATTGTTTAAGCGCGGTGATTGTCAAGATTCAACTGCAATTTTGAAAAACCCAACCCAACTATTACTCAAATATATATAAATAGATAGAGACTAATGAACCAATCGACAATGCAGCCTAATAAGATACTGCAAATATTAGGCCCTGTGACTTAACAACACCCATCCTTCTGTTAAGTGGCCGTCAGCTGCAAATATTGATAAGGCCCTATATGACTTAACAGAGATTCTCTCTGTTAAGTGGCCGTCAGCTGCAAATATTAATAAGGCCCTATATGACTCTGTTAAGTGGCCGTTTGCTGCAAAACCGTCAGGACACACGTCTTCTAGATCCGATCGAGCTGCTCCAACACGAGTTCAAAAGGAAAGAATCAAAATAAAATATTTTATCTTGGCGGTTTTGCTATAAAGGCAACAGTTGACTCCATAGTAGAGCCAACCTTCTATATACAACAAGTAAACTTACCATATTCTCTGATTACTTAAACTAGTGTGTAGCCCGTGCGATGCACGGAGAAAACAATATTAAAAATAGGTCTCGAGTTTGCGTCACTCAATTGCGGAAGTGGAAACTAATATTTGTCCTATTTAAAAAGAGGAAGGTAAAAAATAATCATAAATTAAGGAGGAGGTAAACAATACTTAATAAATATAAATTAAAGATTCGGGATCAAACAATGTAAAATTATCTTGTATAAGAGAATATAAAATTTGTATGATTAATACTAAAAACACCTAAAATATTATATTAATATAT